TACTGCAAAGATCATCTAGGACTGAGAAGAAAATTATCTTTGGTTCAGCAAAAGAGAAGGAACACAGTAAAAATGAGAAACCAGAGAGATGTCCATTTGCAGCAACACTTTGCATAAATAAAGCTGCAGGGGTCACTGTGAGAGACAGGACATGACTTTGGGTCATACAGTCAAAGAGAACTGTTAGGCCTAGGAGCTACTAGCAGTAAGACCTCAATACAATCAAGTGGGAATAAAAAGAGAGGGAAGACAAAGGAAAACATGAGTCATGGATGGTATTCAAAATCATATTTGTCAACAAGGGCATCCAGAGACAATGTCTAGAGAGTCAAAAGGACAAAACACGGATGGAAGCCTAGCACACTCTCAGCAGCAGAAAAAAGAAGAGTCACCTCTAAAGACTCAAGAAGTAAAAGCGAAGAATTGGGAAAGGGCAAATTTTTGGAAGGGCAGTGGGGACTTTTTTAGGTGTTTGCTGGATTTGGGAAGAGGAATGAGAGTTTCAAAAGCAGTCCATCTATCAGAGACAATGATGAAACACAGGCCTTTATGCCTAAGTTTTTAACTGGAGGTATCAATGTGAGCGGCTCCAGCTGATGGAGGAAGGATTGAGCCATATCGAAGGAGACGCAGGATGTAATTAGAGCAGTTTTGAACTGAATGTTTGGAGAAGATAGAGGTGACAGGAATAAAACAGATGAAGTAATAGTTACAAGAAGGGAATCTAATAGGTGTTTTCATGACAGGAATGATCTGTGACTACCTATATTTATTTGAAAGGAAACTTAAGGACTTTGAGAAATAGTAGGGAAAAAAGAAGGCAAGATGAAACATTCATGTGACAGCAGACTGAGAAGTAAATGCGGAAAAGGTTAATGATGGAAGTAATTGATTCTGTATTTTAACTTTGTTTTTTTCTGCAGAAGCAAATGAGGTAGTTGCAGTAGAGCCTATTTTCTCAAAGAAAGGGAAGCACACAGTGAAGTCTAAATGAGGCAAGTCATGTTTTTGGTAGGAGAAAAATTGAATGAAGATCTTTGACTGGAGAGATGAGGACACTGATAGTCAGTTAAAATGTCAGGAAAAGTAGCTCAAGGGTGAACATGATCATGCAGAAGTGATAATCACTGACCCATAGTCAGGATCGTATCGTAATCGGAGTAAGCGTTACAGCAGCGCAACTGACATCCAAAAATTGATCAGAAAATTTCTCAGACGTGCAGGTTTTGGTTGGAATAGAGTTTATTTTCTTCACAGAGGCTGGTATGGAGCTGTGTTTTTGATTTGTGCTGATCACTGTCTTGAAAATGTAGGCATATTTTTGTTACTGCTGAGCAGAATCAAGGTCTTTTCTGCTTTTTGTTACTGCCACACTGGTGAGGAGATATGGGATGAGTGGGAAATTGGGAGGAGAAACAGACAGGACAGAGGATTGAGTCCACCATCA